CTGAAGCAATCTTCAGCCAGAAGTGCTGAGTGGATGATCCATCTTGCCCTCATCCAGTCATCCCCGCATTACAGATACCAGTGTTCAACCAATTTAATTCACTCCACGTGATATCAAGAAACAGTTGGAGACACGCGATACTGCAAAGGCTACAGGCCCTGACAACATGCTGGCAATAGTACTGAAGACTTGTGCTCCAGAACTTGCTGCTGTCTTAAACAACCTGTTCCAGTATGGTTACAACACTGGCATCTACCCAGCAATGTGGAAAATTGCCCAAGTATGTCCTGTACACAAAAGCAGGACAAATCCAACCCGGCCAATTACCGTCCCATCAGACTCCCCTCAATCATCAGGAAAGTGATGGAATGTGTTATCAACAGTGCTATCAAGCAGTACCTGTTCAACAATAACCTGCTCAGTAACACCCAGTTTGGGTTCTGCCAGGGCCACTCAACTCCTGATCTCATTATAGCCTTGAAGAACTGAATTCTAGAGGTGAAGTGAGAGTGACAGCCTTTGACATCAAGGCTGCATTTGACTGAGTGTGGCATCAAGGAGCCCGAGCAAAACTGGAATCAATGGGTATCGGGGGCAAACTCTCCGATGGTTGGAGTCACACCTGACACATAGGAAGATGGCCGTGGCTGTTAGAGTCAATCATCTCAGCTCCAGGATATCTCTGCCGGAATTCCTCAGGGTAGTGTCCTTGGCCTAACCATCTTCAACTGCTTCATCAATGACCCTCCCTCCATCATAAGGTCGGAAATGGGGATGTTCGCCGATGATTGCACAATGCTCAGCACCATTAGCAACTCTTCAAATACTGAAGCAGTCCGTGTTCAAATAACAAGATCTGGACAATATCCGCACTTGGGCTGTCAAGTGGCAAGTAACATTTGCACCACACAAATGCCAGGCTATGACCATCACCAATAAGAGACAATCTAAACACTGCACCTTGGCATTCATCGGTGTTGCCATCACTGAATTCCCCCACTATCAACATCCTGGGGGCTATCATTGACCAGACACTCAACTGGACTCATCACATAAACGCAGTGGCTACAAGAGCAGGGTAGCAGCTAGGAATACTGCGGTGAGTAACTCACCTCCTGACCCCTCAAAGTCTGTCCACCATCTACAAGGCACAAGTCGGGAATGTGATGGAATACTCCCCACTTGCCTGGATGAGTGCAGCCCCAACAACACTCAAGATGCTTGACACCAAGCAGGACAAAGAGGCCCATTTGATTGGTACTACATCCACAAGCATTCACCCCCTCCACCACCAACTCTTAGTAGCAGCAGTGTGTACTATCAACAAGATGCGCTTCAGAAATTCACCAAAAATCCTCAAATAGCACCATTCAAACCCACAACCATTTCCATCTAGGAGGACAAAGACAGCAGATATATGGGAACACCACCCTCAAGTTCCCCTCCAAGCCACTCATCATCCTGACTTCGAAATATATCGCTGTTCCTTCACTGTCACTGGGTCAAAATCCTGGATTCCCCTCCTATTAATATTTTGGGTCAACCCACAGCAGGTGGACTGCAGCGGTTCAAGATGCAGTTCACTACCACTTTCTCAAGGGCAACTAGGGATGGGCAATAAATGCTGGCCAGCCAGCAATGCCCACATCCCATAAATGAGTATAAAATAATAGCAGGAATCCTACATTTTATCTGGACAAGACAGGAATCCTCTATTTGGCAGGAAAATACAGATAACGCTTCAGGTACAGCAGTATGGAGTATCAACGCTGCTACTACTATTACTGCTAAATAAAAGGGATTTGGTCACATTTGGAAGATGTCATCAGAAAAATACTGGAATGGAAGATTTATTTATGCAAAAATGGATATCTCAAATACAATAATTCTCGTGAATCAGAGATCCAAACTTGTTCTGCTTTGATTTAGTATATAGTTAATGCATCTAAAACCATTTGGATGATGAATGAAACAGAAGTACAGAAGCTGCATAGTTCCGTTCTAAAAGAGGCTGATCAAGCTTAGCACAGAAGATCAGTGAAATATGTTCAATTCTTAAGGTACAAAACCACAAAGGACACACACAAGAGAAACAAATACATGTACAGGTAGAGACAGTGCCCACCTACTAAAGTGGGTGAAACGAAAACAGAAATTGCTGGAGAAATTCAGCACGTCTGGCAACATATCTCCACAGAGTTTCTCTAGCAATATCTGTCCTTGCTTTGGGTTGCTATCATCTGCAGATCTTTGTTTCATTTCAAATTGAGTGTTTTGTCTGACACACAATGGACCACTTTTTGAAAACAGGGACATGGTCATAAAAAAACAAGGAGTCAAATCAAACAGGTTGATGAAGTTGAACAGTCTGCAATAGAAGAAAAAAATCTAAAGTATCTTAAGGGAAGTAAGAAATCAAGACCGAGATTTTTACCAAACTGGCATTTATACCCATGGTCGTCTCACAGATTTCAAATTAGATACTAGAGCGAGTATCACTGTTATCAGATAGTGAGGTGAGCCATGGTTGACAAAGCACTGTCTACAGCCTTCAACAGTGTAACTATATGGTCCAGGCATATTATCTAACTGTGGGTCACAGTTGGCTAATGATTCTTTAGCCAATTTGCAACCAGCTCTGGATTTGAACATGTCACAACCTCGCTAAAATATTCACAATCAAATTGGAAAACTAAGCATTGAGTCAGCATGGTCAAGTCACTTCTGAAGAAAATTGCTGACTTCTGTACTGTTCTACTAAACTATTAATCCACCCTGCCACAAAACCTGTGCCATCAGAGTTACTGTGAGGAGAAAGCTGAAGTCTGGCTCCCTAAACTATCAATTGATTAGCTCCACATTTACACCCAAATTTTACACAAGGAGCAGTTCAATCTTTCACAGCAGGTCACATGTAATTACAGTTATCGCTATGAATGAAATGGAACGATTAAATCAAGAGACAGTTGAGGAACTTTATTGGACGTTGATCAATGTATCATAAGATTTAGGCTAACTGTGGAAAAGAACAGGAAAAAATGGTAGCTAAACAATGTGCCTCCTTCAAAGAAAAGATCAAGCACAATATAGGTATATGCCCTCAAAAAGGGAAAGGTGGAGCAAACCAATCTAGAGCTCCCTGGATGATAAAAGAGATAGTAATCAAGATAAAGAAGAAAAAGGTGTGTTTATGACTGATGTGAAGGAGTAGGTACAATTAAGAACCAGGCTGAATATAGAAGATTCAGAGAGAATGTAAAAAGCAAGGAAGAGTATCAGTGAGGAAGTATGAAAAGACACTAGCAGCTAATGAAAAATGAAATCTCAAAGTCCTCTGTAGGGAAATATAGAGTAAAAAGGAGCAATAAAAGGAGGAGTAGGACAAATTAGAGGACAAAAAGGAGATTTACACATGGAGATTGATGGCGTAGCTTAGAAATTGAATTAATGCTTTCCACCTGCCTTTATCAAGTATCAACAATCTTCTTAGAGAAAGAGGAGGTAATTCAGACATTTGTGGGATTTAATATTGATGAGGAGGTAATTTACAAATGACTTAAAATGGACAGAAAAACAGGAACAGATGTAATGTATCCAAGGATACACAGAGAAATGAAAATGGAATTTGTAGAGAAACTGACCTTATATTCAGGGGTAATTGCTGAAAAATGGAGAGTTTCAGATGTTACACTATTATTCAAAAACATGTGTAAGGATAATCCAGCAACTACTGGACAGTCACTTTAATTGCTGTGTTGAGGATATTTTGAGAAACAACAATTTAGGAACAAATTAATCGTTGCATAGGCAGATGTAAAATTAAGGAAAACTAGCATAGATTTCTTGTGGAAAAGTTCTTTAACTAATTTTCTGAAGTTTTTGAAGAGGTAACAGAGCTGAGAGCAATTCTGTTGCTGTGGTGTACCTGGACTTCCAAAGGCATTTGATAGGGTGCTGCACAATAGACTTGTGAGCAAATTTGGAGCTCAAAGTGGACCATAAGAATGTGGCTATAAAACTGGCAGTGTGAGTGGAATAGGGAGTAATGGTTAATGAGTGATTTAAGGCTAAAGAAATGTGATGTTTCTGAGGGGTCAGTGTCAGTCCCTTTTCTTTTCCTGATGCATATATAATGGCGTAGACAGTGGTGTACAGGGCACAATTTTAAATATGTGAGTGACATAAAACTTGGAAACATTGTGTGCAGGATAATGTAGAACTTCAAAAAGACAGATAAGTTAGTGGAACTGGAGAACAGATGACAGACAGCTTCAATGCAGAGAAACTGAAGTGATTCGTTTTGTTAGGAAGAACATGGAGAAACAATATAAAATAAAGGTTACAGTTCTAAGTAGACGGCAGGAGCATAGGGACCTGAATGCAGATGTGTAGAAGTTATTGAATGTGGTGAGATAGATTGAAATAGCAGTTAATAAAGCATACAGCCTTTGTTAATAGGGGCATAGAGTACAAGAATGAAGAAGTTATGTTGAACTCGTATAAGATACTAGTTTGGCCTCAGCTGGAATTTTGCACCCAGTTCTTGACATCACATTTAGGAATAATGCACAAGCATTAAAGAGAGTGCAGAAAGGATTTACAAAAATGGTTCAAAAGTTGAGGAACTTCTGTTATGAAGATAGATTAGAGAAATTTTACTTTTGATTGTATAGATCGCTCTGGTATCCTTTTCCTATTCTTCAGCTATGAAATTCTGTATTCAGTTGCCTCGAAAACATAACTCCATTCTTAATTTGAACTTGACTTGCCACCCTCCTGGCTGTTGCTAAGCTCCATAAGATTTCTTAGCTTTTTTTTTCAATTGAAACTTGATATCTTGATTAATTTCTTGTTTTGTGATAATGTAGCTGTGAATGCATTTATTGTAGATTGTGCTTAAACATTACAAAGTGAAGGAAGGAAACAAATTGCCACAAAATTACATTTTCCAAAATGAACATGGCTGCAGAAATTCGAAACAAAAAACATAGCAAACAAACCCAATGTAAGTTGAGGGATCTTGATCACATACGACTCCCGTCATGTTTGTCCTCATTTCAGAAAGATCGCTGTGCTGTCTCCGATTTCCCTCTAGAACATCTGCATCAGTTTGTGTCATGAGATTCTATTTGTACTGGCATATTTGTGCTTCTTAGCAAAAAATATCGGTGTGTTGGATCATCAAAACAGCATCCCTGCATAATTTTCTTGAAATTGAACTCTAGCGATGGCACTAAACAGAAAAGAAAATCAGACAGGATGTAAAACAGGCTGTGATTTGCTATTGTCCATTTTGCACTGTCACTGAATACCAATTTCACCCTGTTCTGTTCATTTTGGCCCCTCGTGTTTCTTGCAACATCTCTGTCATTATAAATAGATTCTAAAATTTGAAGTCAATATTGTTATGGGATTTTACAAAATCCACACATAAGAGGAGCAAGTTTTTAAATAATCCTGAAACTTATTTCTTTTCAAACTCATTTAGTTAGAAGACCTAGGGTTATGCTTGTCTGTTTGAAAAAGGAAATAGTAATTCATGAACAAAATCAGAAGTAGCTGGAAAAGCTCAGCAGGTCTGGCAGCATCTGTGAAGAAAAAATCAGAGAATATGTTTCGGATCTGGTAACCCTTCCTCAGAACTCTTTATTTACTATTATTTATTTACTATTATTTATTTACTACTGTTTATTTATTTACTAAATAATAATTCATGTTTCTTTGTTATTTTTAACCCACTGACTGTCAATTTATGGACATTTTTAGACGACTGTGATGCAGCACTCAAACAGCTAAAAAAAGAGTTGCAGAAGCCATTGTGAAAGTGGCTGTGGCATGTATCTTCCCTTCGTTTAACATGCTTCCATGAAAACAGAGAAATCCTGATTTATCCAGAAAAGTAAACTCAGGACTCAATGGTTGAGATCATAATATAATTCTGAAGTAATGTTATATTTGCTTGCTGGGGAACATGTTATTATTTTACAGTAAAGGTTATGAGGGGTTGAGAAATGGAAAACAAATAATGGTCATATTGAACATACTATGTTTGCCAGACTGAAACAGCAAATTAATCCTATAGACATCTGTTTACAAATAATTTCAGAATGATGTGGGTTTTTAAAGTGAGATTGCTCCAACACCTGGTTAGTTTCTTTTGCACTGCCATTTTTCACCCCGCGCTAAATATTCATAATGTCATTTAATTTGAGGATTTACAGTGCTAGAAAACTGAGTAACTGCCCCATCATGAAACTAGTGATTGTTAGAATCAATCTCTCACACGAAAGGAGCCTTCAAGTTCTGAGATCAACAGATCCCTCATTAGAATCCAGCGTTCCAGGATTCTGAATTTTGAGCCTGCAACAGGCAATTCTTAAAACGCAAGGGCAAAATCATGTGGCTAGTTTCTTTATATTAACTATTCTACCGAAGCATTTTATAACTGTAACTGAAGGATGTGTCATGTTTGTGGAAAGCAATGGATCAGAATTGTGTAGTGTGCTTTAAAGGATTGAATAAAAATCTCCATAGATGCATTCAGTTACCTCATCCAACTTTATCTTTTATGGTTGCCACTTGACAAGAGTTTATATGGACAAGGTAGAGTCCACAGTCAGGGAAATTGATTATGCCCTGTGAAGGACTAGCTTGATGAACCAAATTGTATTCTCTAGTTCTGCACTTTAATTCTAAAATCAAAACCATCATAGGGATTTGATCTATGATGTTAAGAAAGTCGATAAGAGAAGTTATGTAGGTCGGGAAGCAATGCTAAAGGAAAAGCTTGTCAATATCTCATCGGATCTTTCTTTGAAACCAAAAAGATAATAAAACCATGAATTTTTGAAACACACCAAGGAGTGTAATTTTCCCATGGCGTCAACTATTATAGAAAAAGTGAAGCATGTAAAGCAGTGAGTATTAATAGTTCTCAAAAGAATTCTATAAACTGCATTATTAATCCTTGTGAAATGAAAATGAAGTAATAAATAGAATTTTGTTGTATTTCAAAAAGTCTGCATACAATTAATGTAGTAAAGTACGTGCATGGAAACCTTCTGCAGGTAGCACAAGTGCAATACTTGATTGCTATATTTTGCTACTCCTCTGTCTATTGTATAAAATGCTTGATTTGCATTGTCACTTCTGTTCAGCCATGCTAATTTTTTCCAGCAAATTATTCAAAATTGTGTAACTTGTTCCAAAGAATCCTGAGTATTATTTTCAGCACAGATTGAGTTTGCACAATAATTTGCAATAGCTGACACATTTTGTGCTAGAAATGGGCCTATCCACAAATTCACCAGTTTGAGGATGATTTACTCACTGTTGGTATTTTCCATGAATTTCCACTGGTTCTGTGTATTCAACATGGTTCCATAAGTTAAGCTATTGCTTTTGGGCTCACATTCTGGAACATTCTAAAAGCTTTTGATTTTTCTTTATATAAAAAACTATGGTAATTAATCTACACCTGGTTAACAATACAACATGGAAAGTTCACTTTTTAAAAAGAAACATTAATTTGGAGAAAGTTAGCCATTTTAAATCCTGCCAATTTTACTGGTTCATGGCAGATTTTACACTCTGTATTCTTAACAAAAAATGTTGGAGTGGAAACTTGAGGTAGAAGAAAAACACTTCTCAAAATGGTTGTAATTTTGAATGAAACTTGTGCCTGAATTGCTGAATATTTCTCAAGTAGGAACCCTCACATTTTAATAGCAATGTTATGTTGTAATCATTCTTGTTTTTCAGAAAGTAAATTGTGCCTCACAGTGTTTTTGCTTTGGTGATCTTTGGTGATTGAGGCCATAGGAAGCAGAAAGTTTCCATTTGTGCTGTAAACTTCAGTTTCAATTTAATGAACTGTCTGAAATACCCACGATTGTTTGATCTTTTCTTCTGAAAACTCATTTTGACAAAAAACATTGTGTTTAAGAATAATGTTCAGACTTTGAGCTGCCAATGCAGAATTCTGCCAGTTAGCAATCCATATTTCAAATTTGAGCCCATGTTGCACACTATTTTATGACAATTAATTCTGACCAGCAGTCAGCAGTTGCAGTTAGAAAGAAAGTCTTGAGTCTCTTTGCTGGAATTGAGGTTATAGGGTGACCTGAAAAAGGTAATCAAGCTCAGGAGGAATCCTGGCAAAGATAATAATTGTGTTGGCTGTTTGGCAAGATAGTAGTGCAAACACTCAGGTTTGAGTAAGATAATCACAAAAGTAATTTAACTAGCAAGCATTTAGGAAAAAAAACTCTCTTTGCACAGAGTGAATCAAACGTTGACAATTTAAAGATGTTCCTGTTAAAATCTCAATTTCTATACTGTGTTGTTTACTGTAGATTGCTCACATTTATCTCATTTTCTTACCCAGTACTCATGATTGCATTTTCTATATGTCTTTCCTTTTCGGCTCAGCCCCTGGCTGAGATTGAAACTGGCATGATCTAATTTTGTCAGCATTTAAAGCTTGCTATGTTTGATTTCAACCATACCCACATGACAGAAACAGGCTGAGTGGATTATTAACAATAAATTGGCCGTTTATACCAATGCTGCACATTTCTAATACCAACCTGCGTTTAGAAAATGGTAAATGAGTGCCACAGACTTTTCAAAATCAATGTCTTGTTAAGTCACTAGCGCCCTGGCACAATTATAATCAGGAGCCTAAGCTGGGAAGCAGTCTTCAAAGTTGGCAGAAACTGGTCACCAATTCATCCAAAACCAAAAGATTGGGATGTGGGCATTGCTGAAAACGCCAGCACTTGATGCCCATTTCTAATTGTCCATGGAAAATGGTGTTGAGCCACCTTCTTGAACAACTGCCCTCTACCTGGAGCAGGTGCACACACATGCTGTTGTGAAGAGACCTACAGGTCTTGCCAGGATAGTTGCAAGCTTCCCATACATGCTCCCCTCCCACTCATGAGGACTTTACAATACCCTTTTTCACCACATCCTTGGAACTCCTGATTTTCAGACTGAAAGCCAATCTATGCCTTCTTCCCGCCATACCTTCAGTTCTCAGTGAGAAGTGAACTGTCAACAATTAAATGAGACTCTGCTGTTAAAATTGCTCCGACCTCCTTCTGCCTTGGCCATGTATAAATCAAATCAAACAGTGAAACATCGAAGAGCTTACTGCCTAAAACAAGTAAGTGTTCCTTTCAGCGAGCAGGAGCGCGGGGGGCTTTGCAACAGTGGTGTAAACGGAGCACTAATCAAATGTGTAGAGCTGCCACCCAATTTTAAATTGAGAAACCCAAGTTAAAATCTAATTTCTAGTCTCAATTGCCTTTGTGGTGAGGTGTTCCATCTTCTAATAACCTGTTTGAAAAGTACTTTTTTTTCTGCCTGATCTTTCTTTCTTCTTGTGATCATCCTTTTGCCTTCCTCTGCTGTATTTTATTCTTTCAAAACCTTTCAGAAATTTCAAATCTCTATGAAATTTCACCCAAATCTACTCTGCTATTAAAATTCTTTGAGTGTTCATTTATAACTGTCATTCTAGTGAATAATCTTAGAAAGTTGAGCCAATCTCTAAAGTGAATCTCTCAGAAAAGCTGTCCAGTAGTGAGCAGATTTGAGAGACCAATAGCTCTATTCATTATACAATCAGATATTTAATTAATGCAGTGTACCCTTTCCATAATTGCAGTAATTATTCTGTAATGCATCGGCAAGAATTACATACAGCACAATACAACTTGATTCTGTTGTTGTTTAGTTCTCATGCAGCAGATTTCTACTATTGAACATTCACACATGGAGACAGACTGTCAAGAGGACATGACAAATAAAGACACAGCACTTTATCAGAGGAGAAGGTGTATAGGATCAGCAGGTTAAAACAACCTCTGAGTGTGAGCTGTCTCTTTACCTTCTTTCTGTTACCTCATTCCCACAACATTCTAATGCTCAGGGAAATTTATTCCTGCAATATAATCTTGTGAATGTATTTTCTGCTCCTAGGGCAGCACTGCAGTGCAGATAGATGCCAGTGTTGCCCATGGCAATTGAACAGCACATCATGCTGTTTTTAAAGTGTATTCAGTACAGTTGATTGGTTGCTATGTTATTGCCATTTTTAATCTGGAAGGTATTTACAATACAGAATAGATGTAGAAAATAATTACAGTACAATTCTCGATCACATCTCATTCACATAATATAATTTTTAATGATTAATAATGAATCAAGATAAACATTACCATTAAT